AATTTTTATTTTATTTATTTAATCATTTATTTCAGGCAATACGAACAAAGCTACGGCTGCTAGCATTAAACAATGCCTGTCAGACATCAGCGCCCAAGCGGTATCACATAACTGTAATCCAATAAACAAATACCTAATACAGCATCAACAAATATAAATACAAGGAAAATCTATTAAATTAAATCTGTGTGTATCATATTATATGAAATGAGGATAATAATTATTAATTATAATGATACATAAACTTGTATAGATAGAATATGTAGAACGGTTGGTCTGAACATTTCATTGATGTTCCAACTTTAATCGATTTGTTCCAGCCTGTATACTTTCATATGCATTTAGTAAAAAGCTGTTATTTTGACAATACAAACAGGCACTTCAATTTTATTTATCTGTATAGATAAAAAACGTAAAATACTCGAATTTGTCAACAAAACTAAATGCATACAAGGGTACTGGTACAAATTAAGAAATGAAACTACATATAATAAGATATTGAATTTTGCCATAAAAACACAAAATTTTTATTCAATATATTCTGTATGTACTTATTAAAGGAATAAGAAAAAAACGAACGAAATTACTGTCCTGAAGAGAACCTGCGACCTACAGCTCAGACAAGACGTAAATAATTTTCAACATTTTCACCCTACACAGCTAAAATCATCATTCATATATTATAATGTCTAGTACTTATACGTATAACATAGTATAAAGTCCAGTCGATGCAATCGATATAATACTCGTGAATTCAAATATTTAGCAGGGAGGGTCGACAGAGGGCCTCATGAACACCTTTGACATTTAAAATTACTGAGAACAGATGTTGTCACTCAGTCTATCGCGTATCGTGTTATTTGTATGTTTTTTCATGAACCCCCATGATATGGATATCAAATGAAAGGGTTTGCTGAGAAGAATACGAATAACTAAAAAATAAAATAATTGTAAAAAAGATTTTCAAAAATCATCTTTTATTTAAATACTCTTAAAACCAGAAAATAAACTTTAAATTAAATAAAACCTATCAATTCATTACTTTATGCCATTTATATACAAAATCTTGTCGCAAAATTTATCTTGTAAATAAATAAGAAACAAAATGTTAAAAAATAATGTTTCTTATAAAAAAGGTAAATCTCGTGGCAAGCTTTATATCATACTAGCATTGCCTGCGGCTCCGCCCGCGTTCAGATGACCAAAACCAAATTCTTAGGTGTTACATATAAGTATACTCTTACATTGCAGTTTTTGTATTTTTTCTCAAAAGTGACATATTTTCCCGCGATAAAAAGTATCCTATATGTTGACCCGGATAAGTAGCTATCACTATACCAAATTTCATCAAAATCTCTCCACTCGTTTTTCTGTGATGCGGTAATAGACAGACAAAAATTCTAAAAACTATAGATTCGGCCTCTTTATCGATAATAAAGTTTATTTGAATAAGATTTTTCAAAAAATATTTAATGTACAGATTCGGCTTAGTTACAATTTTATTATATGTATGGATAAATTATGTTATTGAATAAATTGATGTTAGATTGATTGGTGATTGATATTTCAATCAATAGGAGACCAACAAAGTGCCTTGAATAGGTATATTTTGTTAATAAGCCCCGTGGTTTGCAGAACACTGTAACATCCATACTAATATTATAAATGCGAAAGTGTTTTTGTTTGTTTGCCCTTCTTTCACGTCGAAACGGATCGACGGATTGGCGTGATTTTTTGTGTGAAGGTAGTTGGAGGGCTGGAGGTTACTTTTTACCGCGGGAGATTACCTAATTCCCACTGGAAGACACGTTATAATACAATACAAAAAAATATATGATCAGAATTACTTCTTATTAATGCTCTTCAATAACATTCAATAAATACGTATTATAGCATTTTTCGATATTTACGAATAGTAGATACGTATATTAGAATTTATTCTATAAGGGGGTAAAATTCTATAAGGGGATGAAAGTTTGCATAAAACTACCTTTTTAGAGATTTTTTTGTAGTTTTAGCGCGAGCGAAGCCGCGGATTCTGCTAGTATTCTATATATATACGATAACATTATCGTAACTTCTTGTTATTACTTAATACTTATTAGTACTTCATATTTATTAAACTTGCACCAAATAATCTATGAAAGGTCAGTAAAGTATCTATAAATAACTAAATTAAAAGTGTCTAATAGTAAAGAAAACTAAAGTTCTACGATATTAAGTAATAATTATAATAAACTTGTGGTAAATGTGGGTGTTGTAAAGTTATCTTAATTCAGTAATGAAGGCCCGCACTTTCACGTAAATTGTGCTATTTTTAGACGCGAATTTTGTACTAAGCTTTTATTTATTTAGATAATAATCAATTTATTGCTTTCATGAAATCGATACCTAACATTTTAAATGTTGACGATCTCGCCATATTCGTCGTCGTATACAATAACTTTAAAAATCAATGTAAGACAATACACGAAGCATTTTTCTTCTTACACAACGTTTATACCTATGAATTATTTTTACATATTTAAAACAGTGAATGTAAAAAAGTGGGATGATTCGCCTTGGTCGACACTTAGGAGGATCCATCTAGAATATGGGCGGTCGGTTAAGTGTTTATTGTAGAAGATTTATCAGCGCCGCAGCGGCTCAGTCGAGTGCAACACTCCGAGAGTACGGGTCGCGCGTCCACGGCAGCAGCGGTCATCCTCCACCATGCGCTACAACGAGCTCGGCCGCACCGGCATGAAGGTGTCCCACGTCAGCCTCGGGGGAGCCCCTTTCAGTAACATCTACGGGTAAGTTCTAATTTTAATTCTATTAAACTTTATTTTCTTAAAATTCAGAAACTTTATATATCTACTTAGTTTAAATTATGTCGGTTCGTGTTCGTTGATTTGATAACTTTATCTACTTATATTTTATTTTTTATCCATTTTTTTAATTATATGTAGTTTGATGTTTTAATTCATTCATTTTTAAACAAGCATAAACCACGTAACTTTTCGCCGCTTTGTTTAATCACGTAATTTGACGAAATACTGTATTTTTATCGCTAAAATTATCAAAGTAATTTGCCGTTGAATTATTCTAATCTTAATAATAGATTACGCGAATTCTGGCTGATACGTGGGTGCTCCGGAGTGAGAACCAACTTGTCAACGGCTCTGGCCTACGTGGCGATAAATCTTTATGATTATACTACAGAACTTATTTAGACAATCTTGTTATAAGTGACAAGTTTCGCTTAATAATATTAAAATCTATACATATAATAAAATTGTAACTAAGCCGAATCTGTACATTAAATATTTTTTAGAAAATCTTATTGAAATAAACATTATTATCGATACAGAGGCCGAATCCTTAGTTTTTAGAATTTTTGTCTGTCTCTCTGTGTGCCTTCCTGTCTGTTTGTCTGTCTGTCTATTTCACCTCACAGAAAAAATGGAAGGATTTTGACTGGAAGGATTTTGATGAAATTTGGCATGTTGATAGCTGGTTATCCGGGTCAACGTATACTTACGATGCTTTTTACCGCGGGAAAATGTCTCATTTCTGAGAAAAAATACAAAAACTGCAATGTAAGAGTATACTAATATGTAAAACCTAAGAATTTGGTTTTTGGTCAGCTGAACGCGGGCGGAGCCGCGGGATTTGTAATAATTTATAATATCTAAGTTCATTATAAAACAAGTGTTTGTTAGGAGTTGCCGCGCCGAGTACTTAAGTAATAAGTGATATTAACATTGCTTATTGAATCACTCAATATAAAATCCCTGCCATTACGCTACACATGCGCACCACATATTTATGTACCTATTGGCGTATTTATAACATTATAATAATACAATAAGTAATAAATAAAAACTCTTCATGAACCGTTAACGGCTTTGTAAAACATTAATTTCAGCATACCCACCTTAATAAAAGTAAAAAGAAGGTTATTGCTTCTTTTTTCCTATTACATCTATACCTATCTACTAATATTAGAAAGAGGTAAAGTTAGTGAGTTTATGATGTTGTTGGGGGTAAACTCTTAATCTACTGAACCGATTTAGATGAAACTTGGTAAGAAGATAGTTTGAGACATCATCCCTTAAGGGGGTTAAAATGGGGATGAAAGTTTGTATGGAGAATCAACCTAGGGACAAACCCGAGCGAACCGAGGGTGAAGCGCTAGTTTATAATAACTATATTCGGTTGAAAAGAGAGAATTGTCGACATAAACATTTATTCACGACGTAGTCCTCAAACACAGTAAATGCATACTTAACCGTTCGTCTAATCTGCGATTTATTTATCCGCTGCACTGTGCGAAGTTGCTAGGTTTCTTATCGCTTGTTGATTTGAATGGTGTAAAGTAGAATTTGATATAATTGATAAATGTATTACAAATATATAACTTAACATATTCAATAGCAAGGCGAATTTGATTCCAAGTCCAATTTTTACATACAGATAATCTTTTTGCTAACTAATCTCCCGAGTGTTAATTTAAAAAAAAACTCTAAATATTAAAAAAATAAAATTTCTCTTTTGGCCTTTTAACTTCGCATCGCCGCGCCGTGGTGGACCGCTAACACTGTTAGCATTTTCCATCTCCTTTTTGGAACGTCAATGAAACACGGAGTTGGAAAGCTGACTGATTTAATGTTCATGTTAATTTACCCACATACAAAATAATCACATATAACACTTTTCCCCCCTTTTTATTAAATGTACTTTACATTTTCACCTTTATTTTAAGTTTATACAAGGAGAAACAATATATTAAAATTATTCTAAACAAAAAGAAAGTTCTACCTCTATAAAAAAAAGTTGGAGAAACACAACTTGCAATATCCATAACAATGAAATCATTAATATCTCTTATTCCTATTATAGGCACGTAATGCCCTAGCCGAAGCATCAGGTGGTGGTGGCGTAGGAGATCGCGGATATTGAGTTTGCTTAATAAACTGATCAGTTTGCACCTCCGTTCCACCTGAGGCATCATGTTATGTATCGTCGGCATCATATGTAACTATATCTTTGTTCTCGTTATAGTTGTTTCCTTCGACTTCCGAACTTGGCAAACTCGTACGCGCGAGGGAATATCGATTTTTATTATCAACGTTGATTATTTGGTCTTGATGTCGACGCCACTTTAATCCCTCTCCCACATCAACTTTATACGACGAAGGTCCAGTTTTGTCCGTAACAACCCCTTCTGACCATTTATTGCTTCTTGTTCTATAGTCACGAGCTAATACGGTGTCTCCTACTTCTATTAACCTATTTGAGCCTTTCTTAAGCACAAAATCGCCAAGTGGAGCTTGGCGATTTTGTGCTTCCCGGGCTATTACAGCTCGATCAGGGCGAATCGCGTCGAGACGTCCACGCAACCGATGCCCTAGTAAAGCCACTGCCGGTGATACTCCGGTAGTCAAATGTTCACAATTTCTATATTGAAATAAATATTTATTTATTGCCATCGATATATCCTCTTTTAAAAAACCGCTCTTTTAATTATTTTTTTTATTAGTTTAACGGCATTTTCAGCCGCGCCATTACCCTGAGATCTATATGGTGCCGTCGATACATGTTTAATACAATTAGCAAGACAGTAATTGTTAAAGTCTAAGGAAGCAAACGGGGGACCATTATCCGTAACAAGTTGCAATGGATGTCCGAATCTAGCAAAAGTCGTACGTAACACAGCTATTGTCGCTTCGGCGTCAGTGCGGCTCATAATAAATACTTCGATCCACTTCGAGTGTGCATCAATCATTATAAAATATTTTTTTCCCGCATATTCAGCAAAATCCGCGTGAATTCGCTGCCAAGGGTGCAGAGGAAATTCCCACGGGTGTAAAATAGCTTTAGGTGGAGCATCGCGAACTATACGACACGCGTCACAGTTACGACATAAATTTTCGATATCTTTATCTAGACTTGGCCAGTATACATAATTTCGCGACAATTTTTTTATTTTATTAATACCCAAATGACTTTCGTTAATTTCTCTTAGTAATTTTTCACGTAAGGAGGGCGGCACTATTATTCTATATTTGTAAATAAGACAACCTAAGTCTAGCCTTGTCCTCATCACTTGCTACCGATGGAACATATCCTATGATCCTACTTAACACTAAGTCTTTTTTAGTTTTACAACTAATATCTTTGAAATTAACAGGCAGTGAGTAATCAATAAGTTGTATGTAACTTAATGAATCTGATGGTGGGCCGTTCATATGGCATTGGTAAGCGAGCATCGGCCGGCCCGTTCTCACTTGAACGTACAAACTGTACTGAGAAATCATACGCAGACAAGCGCGCCGCCCATCGTTGTAATCGACTGGCAGCTGTTTGTGGGATACCACATTTTTTTCCAAAAATATAACTAAGCGGTTGGTGATCGGTTTTTAAAATAAATTGTCTTCCATAAAGATACTGATGGTGCTTAATAAGACCAAAGAAAATTGCGAGCGCTTCTTTATCAAGTTGACTATAATTTATTTCTGCTTAATTTAATGTACGCGATACACAACTGACTGGGCGTTCGCTGCCGTCAGAATAGCGGTGTGCTAACACCGCGCCGAGCCCGTAAGCGCTGCTGTCCACTGCCAATACCAACGGTCTTCCCCCTTCATAATGCGCTAAAACTTTATCGCCCGTAAGGGCACGTTTAGCCTCAACAAAAGCTTTTTCACAATTGACATCCCATTTCCAGGCAATATTTTTTTTAATAAATTATGCATTGGATACAATAAAATACTAAGGTTTGGTATAAATTTACTTTAATAGTTTAATAAACCTAAAAAAACTTTTTAACTGAGAGACATTCTGGGGTCGCGGGGCCTCCCATAAAGCTTCTAATTTTGTTTGTCGGGATGAAGACCAAGTTTGTCTGTAATAAAACCTAAATATTTGACACTGGATTTTAAGAAATTACATTTGATAAGTTTAACGGCAAAGCCCATATTACGTAAACGTTCGAGTACCGCGCGGAGGTTTCTAATATGTGCCTGCCTATCCGAGCCCGTGACACAAATATCATCTAAAAATACTACGGTACCCGGTACCCCTCGTAAAGTCTCTTCCAATAATTTTTGAAATTTCCCAGGAATACACGACAATCCAAAAGGGGTACGGCGATATACAAATGTTCCGATTTGTGTCGTTATAGCAGTGTACGGTTGCGAATCAGGCGATAAAAGGACTTGTTGATAAGAATGCTTAAGGTCGATTTTAGAAAATTCCTGACCGCCGCTAAGTGCCGCGAATAACTCCTCTTTTCGTGGTAAGGGATAATAATCGCGTTTTAGTTTTGGATTAATAGTAATTTTATAATCACCGCAGATTCGAATCTCACCACATTCCTTAACTACCGGGACTATAGGCGTACCGTAAGCCGAATGATCAACGCGGTACGTATATCCCTCTCGCTCGAGACGCTTACGGGCGCTTACGGGCGCTTACGGGCTCGGCGCGCTTACGCAATGCTAAGGGGACTACTCGTGCGCGAACATAAACCGGATTCTTATCTATCAGCTGTAGTTCAATATGTTTTTTACAAGTGCCTAACTTATCTGTAAATACTTCGGGATATTCGATAATTAATTTTTCAACTAAACTATCCTCTTGGATTTCTTTCAAAGTTATTCGCTTAATTTTAAGCGCACGAATCCAATCTCGACCCAATAGAGGACGCGATCCATTTTTTATAATATATAAACTTAATTTTTCTGCCTTAACACTACCTAACGATACATTGACATATATAAAACCCATAGATTCAATTTGTAAACCAGTATAACAGCGTAAAAGTAAATTATCGGATATAATTGTTTTTTGTGTAAATATCTTATTAAATAATTCTTGACTAATAGCGGAAATACGGCTTCCAGTATCTATCTCAAATTCTAATAAATGCTTATCGACAATTAACTTAAGTAAATAGGGCTTATTACCTTTGCTTATTAACTCAATATTAAAGATATCTTCCTCCTCGGTACTACTTCCGTCTTGATAATAATTATTACGATACAACGGTCGATTACGCACTTCATCACACATCACTTTTAAATGGTCTTTTTTATGACACTTATCACAACTGTACTGTGCAAATCTACATTTTGAAGCGTGATGAAGCTTCCCACAACGCCAACACCGCACCTTCGCAGCTTCCCGGACACGCGCCCTTCCAGCGCCAGACACCGGCCTAGCCGACTTACGCCCCGCACTCGTTTGAAATAAGCCTTCGCTTGCTTCGCCGCCTGCACCGGAAGCCGATGTCGGCACAGCCGTTGCGCCGCTCACCTCCGCGTGCTTCTCTGCAGCCTCTAGCGCCAGAGCCAGCTCCACCGCCTCCTTATATTTTATATTCCGTTCAGCGAAAATTCTCGAACGCATTGCTTCATTTACCAAGCCCGAAACAAATTGATCCCGTAAATTCTCTTCTAGCATCGTCCCGAAATTACAAGTAGTGGCTAGATGTTTTAAATTCTGCAGGTATTCCGACAAAGGCTCACCGACACGTTGTCTTCTTAAACGAAACACGTGGCGTTCTGCTATTTCGGATCGTTGTGGTTCCAAATGATCTGATACCAATTTGACTAGATCGTCAAAAGATCTTGATTCCGGGTGTGTTGGTGAACATAGGTCACACATTAATGAATACGTAGTTTCTCCGACGACAGTTATTAATAACGGCACTTGTAGTTCGTCTTTTATCTCGTTCAAAATAATATATTGCTTAACTCGTCGAATATAAGCTGGCCATTGCTTTGAATTAAGGTCGAAAGGTTCAAGTTTTCCTATCGGCATTTTAAAATATAATTTCTATGCGTGCTAATTAAAATACACCTCAAAATAAAAGTCAAAGCTATAACACCCATCTTTTAGTGTCGAGGGTTAAAAATTGTGGAACCGCGTTTAACCTTCGAGTTGGCCATTAAAGCATGCCTTTTATAGCTATACTGAGTACTGAGTGATACTATATGAGTTCTCAAGCTCCTACTTAAGTAGTTAGGTAATATTGAGAACAATGCAGGACTTTGCAGCTTATTTCGGAGAGGCTCAGTTATAATAAAACCAAAACACATTTATATTCACACAAGAAGAATGTGAAGGTGGTATTTTTTAGTGAAAATTATGCTTACCTATTATGAAATTTCATTTTTTGAAAATTTACTATTGCGTCGAGAATACAAACAGATAGGCATTATCTGTCCGTCCGTGTTTCATCTGCTAATTCTCTATATACTCGTATATAAAATGCTTTGTCCTGACTGACTAGTGGATCAACGCACAGCCTAAAACGGTGGTCGTAGAATCGTAAAATTTGAAGGACCTATTCCTTACATGACATAGTCGATATCCGATAAGAAAGGATTTTTTTAAATTCATCCCCTAAAGGTGTAAAATAGTGGATGAAAGATTGTATGAAGCTCTGTCATTCTTAACGTGAAATGCACGTAAAGTGGTATTTAGCTTTGAGATAAAAGATAAGAAATAAATCTATTAGCTTTTTTTCGAAATTCGTCTCTTATAAAGGTAAAAGGGGGTGATACAGTTTATACGAGCAAAAAAAATATTTATGGTCAGAATAACTTTAAACTTGGTATTAATGCTATTCAATTTATTTAAATAAACACAAGTTGTAACATTTTAAGGGGAGGGGAGTAAAATAGGGGGCTAAAAATTGTATGAAACTGTTTATTTTTAATGGGCAATGTACGGAAAATGGTATTAAGCCTTAAAATAAAACATAAATATTCGTATGTATTATGTATATTAGATTTATTGAAATTCATCCCTTTAAGGGATAAAAAGGGGTTTTCATATTTATATGGAATAAAGTTGTTTACTTCAAACTTGGTATTTATATGCTTCAATACAATATAGTGAACACGTGTTTTAGAATTTTTCAAAATTCAACCCCTAAGATGGTAATTTATACCCTATGGGTGGTAAAGTTGGTAAAATATTAGCCATTTTTGTAGTTAAAATTAGGTATTCAAGATAAAAAATAAGGAATACATGTATCAATGTGATTATTTGAAATTCGTCTCTTGAGAGGATATAAATATTATCAGGATCGAGTTACCGTATTACAGAAAAACCACTGGAGGGATTTTGATGAAATTTGGTATGTTGATAGCTGGTTGTCTGGGTCAACATATAGGATACTTTTTACCGCAGGAAAATGTCTCATTTCTGAGAAAAAAATACAAAAACTACAATGTAAGAGTATACTAATATGTAAAACCTAAGAATTATGTTTTTGGTCATCTAAACGCGGGCGGAGCCGCGGGCAAGGCTAGTCTGTAATAATGCTATTGACGCATAATTAACGAAACATTTTATAGACTTTTTTGAAAAATGAAAAATGTAAATTGCTTTTGGCTAAATTAAAAAGTAATCGGGGGACAGCATTAGCTGAAACCATATCTGGAATTGCTACTACACTTTTAGTAGTAAAACGGCTTCCGCTGCGCCCGCTCGATCTCACCCGAGTTGAAATCCCCTTTCGGAATATATTTTAAAACATATAAGTTGTATATATTTTTGAAATCGACTGTTAAAAACCTGCATTTTCATACTCGATTTACCCCAACTCAATAAGACAAACAAAATGGTGCCTAGGATCCGCCATTTTGATTTTTAATGATATCTATATATCGATACTCGCATTATTAAGACGAATCGAATTAAGTATGAATCAACAAAATCTGTTAAACCGTTTGGTAATTACGAGGGAACATATTACATACATACAGGTTAAACACATAACCCTCCTTCTCAATCATCCTCAACGAAATGTTGTGGCGATAATATTAACTAGTGTTCGGCCAGTGGTGAAAATTCAATCACAATCTTTATAATTATTAGAGAATAAATAATTAATCTACCGAATACTGAACTGTTTTGTGTTTATATAGCTTCTAGCGACTCACCCGCGCCTCACTCGGGTTCGCCTCTAGAAAATCAAAAACAATTTTTTTCGGGATAAAAAGTAAATATCAACAAAGTAAACAACAAACAAACATCCAAACAACTAAACTCTCACATTTATAATATTAGTAATAAGTATAGGATATAAAAAAATCGAACTGCTTTCAATGTTTTATTGATAACACTAGGCTTAGACAAATGACAAACGTTCCATATCGATTCTCTTTCGATAAACGCTAACGCCTTGGCAATTTCGATAACAGTTTGGTAGCCAAACATGCAAAGACTTGTCGAACGCTCAGTCTATTCCATCGTTCGACAACAGTTTAACGTAGCCATGGTTTTGTTTGTGAACATCATTTTGACATTGTGAAGTGGGCTAAAATTTAAACGTTTAAGAGCAACACGTAGATTTTTTTAGGATTTCTTTATTAAAAGTTCATTAATTATAAGCATAATTTCGCCTAGAAATATTTGCTACAATAACAATAAATACAATATTATATGTCAGACAATAACAACGGTTACCATGGCAACAATTACTCATAATAGCTTTTATTTAATTTACGCACATTCTTCCCACAGTAATGAATAATCATTTTTATAAGTTTATTTTTTTACCAAGCTTAAAAAAGTTATTTAACATTTTATTTAACATATATAATTAACATTACATTAAACGGAAAGAATATGATATTATATATTTTTCAGACAATAACAACGGTTACCATGGCAACAATGTAGCGTTATCTACAAGGTGCTAGCGTTCGATAGGTTTGTCAAAGTGCCACTTGGTAAAACATAACGCTATAATTCCACTCTAAAATAAAGTTATTGGATTTTGACCGTAAATACATTTTTATCGGAAACTAGCATTGCCCGCGGCTCCGCTCGCGTTCAGATGACCAAAAAGCAAATTCTTAGGTTTTACATATTAGTATACTCTTACAATGCAGTTTTTGTATTTTTTCGCAGCAATGAGATATTTTACCGCGGTAAAATATATCCTATATCTTGACCCGGATAACCAGCTATCACCATACCAAATTTCATCAAAATCCCTTAAGTGGTTTTTCTGTGATGAGGTAACAGACAGACAGACAGACAAAAATTCTAAAATCTATAGATTCGGCCTGTATTGATATTTAATAATGTTAGTTTCAATAAAATTTATCAAAAAATATTTAATGTACATATTCACCTTTGTTACAATTTTTTTATATGTATAGAATAAAAATAGCCTTTTAGGTAATAGCAGTCGGCGGTTTTGAAGCTCCCTATTATTGAAAGAATTGTCAGAATCGGATTAACAGTGTCAGCAATTACCACCTAAGTATATACTCGTACATATAAACTTACAAAATTTAGTTCTATTTACTACGAACAAATTTATTTATTTGTAGTCTGTATGATATTTAATATGCATTAATGTAGATAAACTTATATCGCCATGTATTGGCATTTTAAATGTAATTTTACTCAAAGTTCTTGAACATTTTTCACAGCATTGCCTTGTGTAGATTCCCTTTGTATCTTCCGATACCTACTACATACTCGTAATCACTAGAAGGGGATTCTATTTCTGTAAAATCTGATAAAATTGGATGGTACTTACTACTGTTACACTAATTGATTGGCAATTCAACTTACATGTGTAAACATACTCGTATAAGTTATTTTTAACAAGCGAAAAAATAAAGGTTCTCAATTCGACAAGTATATTTTTATTATATGTTTGATCAAGCTTTACTTTTTACAGTCTAGCCCGATTTCGACGATTCTTTTTTTTATTAGAAAAGGTATATCTCAAAGTTGGTCCCATTTAAATTTTAAAAGAAAAATCAACCCCGAAGTGTCGAAGATAGAGGAGATGATTGATTTCTCATCTAATGAATTTTTAAAATACTTTCTTTTTACTTTGCTACTACAGTCTGCACTAAAAATGGAAAACTAAAATGCTGACTGTATTGGTCAAACGGTTGATAGAATGTGAGTTTAGTTGATTTTGGAGGAATATATCTGTGAGGCAGCAAAAATTCAATCAATCGGATCTGTGACAGCCAAAATCAGAGACTAAAAGGATGAATGACTTATGAAATTACTTTCCGGAAAGCTTTCAAAGTAAAATCATATAGTGGTATTTGATAGAATATCGGCTTAAAACTAAATATTTGCATATATATGTTGACTTTCAGATAAAGCTAAATAAACTTTAGAGAAAAGGTAATAAGTCTACTTTTTACTGTCATTGTTAAATGTTATTACTTATACAAAATAATCCGAGAAAAATAAATATAACATATGCCGTTATTTCGGAGTCCGATAACAGATTATAGGTACTTCGCTTCGTCATCGAGATTTGAGTAGTAGCAACTAGCAGCCACGAACCGTATAGCTTCGTTGCTCTTACGAAGTGATCAGCCGTTCAATACGTTCGCCCATGATATTAAAATTTAAAAGTAGACAAATTACTTATAATTTTATAAATTTAACAAGTAAAAATAAGATAATATGACCATTAATATATCTTAGATTATAATCCATACCAAATTTATTAATGTGAAAGTGTGTTTGTTTGTTTGTTTGTTGCGTAAGCGATCCTGCGACGCCCCATTAAGACGGGGGAAGGTTTTGTTGGGTTTTAGTGGGTAGTACAGGCTTTGCCGGTGACTCCCACACCTCTTGCGTAAATGCATTTCCCAACGTTAAAAAAAATATGTAAGCCTGTTAATATGTTAGTTAAAAAACCCATACCTATTAGCCGAGTTACATGATTCTAAAGACGTAAACATTCTCTCTTTCCTCTCACATCACTCTTTCTGTAACTTTGACAAGATCGAGTAGAAAAATGTGTAAAAAATACAGGTAATGGAACTTACTAAATACCTAAAATGAAATTTTTTTACAGAATATATCTATGTTTAACATCTTTTAAGATACTGGATATTTTGAGTTACGATCGCTAAAATTAAATTTGTTTTCCATGTATCTTTAAGAAATAATAAAACTGACACAGCCTTTTTTTTTGGAAATAATAAAGTATGTGTATCGAAAAAGTTTATTTTTTCTGTAATTTAATCGCAGGCGAAGCCGCGGGCTCTTCTAGTGTACATTATTTTTCGTTTTTTCGTTCATGACGAATCAAATGACGTGTAATTTATCAAAATTGGTCCACGCTTTTGGTCTAAATAGTGCCACAAAGGTGCAAACCCACATACATACATACATAGGCTGATAAACACATTGCCCTACTTTGCTTCGCACAGCCGGGTAAATTTTTTTGTTTATTTTCATAAAATCTGGGCATTATTTTTCAAGACGCAAGCTTTGCTTGATTAAGCCTTCTCTTGATTTTTGATCGCATAAAGTCATAAATGCTTCATCGATGAGCCATCGAAATATGAAGCAGTCAATTGAACCCGTGTTTGTTGTTTAGATTCCTTACGTTCTTTCTTCCTTTCCCGGCGTATTTTTGATTTATCGACCACATCAAGATCTGTACTGTGCAATACAGAAGAAACGATTGCAGCAATTGCTCTGTCAGAAATTCTATATCGGTCGCAGGTTTTTTGACAATAATTAAATTGTAAATTCGACCACAATCTCCGAATACCGTATACAACTAAAGTAGCTTTCAATCAGACATCGGCGCAATTTGCACGTTCTCTTCCTCCTTTTCTCCATCCTCTGTAATCCAACTCCCTTTTACTTAAAAGAATGTTTGAATTTCCTAGGATCGGACTCTGGTATTCAACTTAGATCTCAGAGCGACAATCGTCTGAAACTACCACCTTGCACCTACTACTACTATGGCAACTCTTTTACTGTTAAAGCTGTAAAGTTATGGAACATGCTCTCTCGCAATGTTCACCATTCAAAAATTACGCTAATCCGTCACTCCGTTTCGACGTGAAAGAAGGCAAAAAAACAAGCAAACACGGTTTCACATTTATAATATTAGTATGGATATACATCATAAACTGTTGGGTTTATCTTTTAATGTAATTAATACCTTCATATACCTAGACATTATTGAGCTCAAATAGTAAGTATATTTTAGACCTTAGTATTGAGTACACTTCGTTCGAGTGTCCTTTACGACAGTAGATATACACTATACACTGAGGTTAGTTATTATGACTATACTAGCCTTTGTATTAATACATAATACATACAGTAGTCTTATGTGTATATACTTGTATATGATGCATATTACATAGTATTATTATCCATACTTAATATTATAAAGAGGTAAAGTTTGTGAGTTTGTGACGTTGTAGGTGGTAATCTCTGCATCTACTGAACCGATTTAGATGAAATATGGTTAAAAGATAGTTTGAGACCCTGGAAAGGATATAGGATACTTTTTATCCCAGAAATCATCCCTTAAGGGAGTGAAAATGGGGATGAAAGTTTGTATTGGAAAGCAAGCCAGGGACGAAACCGAGCGAAGCGAGGGTTAATCACTAGTACTTTATAAATTAGTGTTGAGTTTATCTTTTAAGGAAAATACTTGCACGTAAACGATTATTGAGCACAGGTTATGAGCTTGTTTTTAATTTATTTAAAATGATTAATAAAGTATTACTTATTTAATTATTTATTTAACATGTTAAGATTCTGATCACAATTTTATTTTTAACGCTGCCGCTGGTAAATTAATCTATTATGAAAACAATTTCCTTATAGGTATATCTTCCAATTCTGCAGAGACTATTGAAATTTCGGTTGCAATGACAATATTAGGTATATTGGGTAAAGGCTCCAGTGAATGAACGAGTCACATGTTTTTTGCGAATAATAAGAGCTGTGATAGAAAACTGTCTGGTTTATATATTTTTTTAACACTTACAAATTTTCCACACTAGCAACACTAAATAGTATATGATTTAGTGTCAGTAAAAGTATGGTGGTGGATTGAAGGAGGCCGGTTGCTGTTTCTTTGCAAAACTTGATAAACATGATAATTACCTGGTGGTATACCTCTTGTAAACTCTATGGGGCCTTACGCGGCAGCATGTGCATAGCTGCACGGTGCTCAATTTAATATTTATTAGAATTTTTTTTCGTAGGTGCTTGAAATATTTCTAGTAAATTCTATTAGATGCTGTAAATAAAGTAGCCTTTATAGATTGGATTTTGTAAAATTTAATAGACAATTTTTATCTTAGGTCTTTTGAGGAGCAGCGTGGCTTGAGTCTGATACGAGAGACTTTGAAGCTTGGCATCAATTATGTGGAGACGGGGCCGTGGTATGGGCAAGGCTCTTCGGAGAGAACCATTGGAATGGTGAGTGTCGTCATAAAATTATAATTTTAAAACCTCATTAATACCCTTTTCTTCTTAACGTATAAAATCTGATAAGACAAGTAGATTAGTAGTTAATAGAAATACACACATAACTTTACACTTCACCCTTTTCGGTATAGTTAAAACAGACGACAAACTTTCCAGTCTCTCTCACTTCTCTTTTGCTTCAATGAAATTCATTTCATCTGCACTCGTTTTTTTTTGACTACAATAGAAATTTGTTTTTTTTGGGCTCCCAAAAATTATCTCTCACTCACGCTACCACCTATATTAAGGGAACCAACTCCGCGCATTCAAACTTCTTCTATCTCATCCTTTAGCTGTAAGAACAATCATTTCTTGACGATTAGATTGCTCACGGCCTGGTGCTACATCACTGCAGTCAGAGAGCCGTAGACCCTATTACTGACAGTGTCATGTCGTGCAGTATCTGATCCACATCCTCAATTCCTGCTAAGTATACTCCTCGCAAGCATTATTTCATGTTCATATCCTTTTTTTATTTAACGTTGGGAAATGCATTTACGCACGAGGTGTGGGACTCACCGGCAAAGCCAGTACTACCCACTAAAACCCAACAAAATCTTTCCCCGTCTCAATGGGGCGTCGTAGGATCGCTTACGCATTCAACTACGACGTCCCGACGGCAGGTTTACCGAAGCAGACCACAACAACCATGGGGTTGCTCCAAGGTTCACTCTGCTATCAGAGAAGTACCAGGAGCAACCCGCATGGTACATCGCCCACTGAAGAGGGCCACCTCCCTGTACGTCTCTTGGCTTCGCGCCCGGCTGGATTGCCGGGCACTACTGAGCCCCCCCACCACGACAAGGTGAATGCACATTAGGGGGGTCATTTTCATATCCTAGTAAGTACCTTATATCTGAAACTTACAATATATTTTTTGTTCTTTTCTTCGATTACTTGAATCTTACCTAAATAAAACAAATATGCCTATTCCATTTATTTTACTATTATCATTTGAACAAATTATATTTTTATTTTATATACAGCACTAGTACAAAGTAATTACAATAAATAAAGGAATATTATAAAATTTCCACTCTCACTACATCGATGAATGATTTTTCCTAATTAGTCCCGGCAGTAGCGTAATTGAACTCATTCTACCGAAATACATGTATGTAGTTGCAGCTATTTAATTACTGAATACTTGAAACTTCTGGACCGTGCGAAGGGTATTTTCTATTTTCAAACTATTGCCGTCCGTATTCCGGAGCTTATGATCTGAAAATGAAATTATTAAACAGGAGAATATCTGACATTTAAATTTATGAGACTATTCAGTTTCCATCCTTGTGAGTTTAGCAATAGAACTAACTTATACATTGAACAATGAGTTAACGCGTCTATATGCAAATATTTTTGAAAACAACATTCTTTTATCAATATTTATGATGATAGTGATTCTAAAACATTATTTTAAACATCCTACTAAAATCACATCAGTTAGGACGTTTCGTTTGTCGTAATATAAATATGGACGTATATGTTATAGAAGTTGTGTAGGTATATTTTTGTGATCGCCTCTTAAAAGCCTGTATTTTGATACCCTACTCGATCGATTTGGACGAAATTTTATTTTTCAAGACAAATTGGCGCCTCAGATCTGCCATTTTGACTTTTAATAATATCTATCTATTACTCAATGACACGCGTTATTAAGACGAATATAACGACGTATGAATTATCAAAATCGGCTCAAGCGTTTGATCTTTAAAATGCCATATAGGAACAAACACACATACATACATAATATATTGATAAATACATTATACTTTAAAGTATACTGTGTTGTCCGAATCACACTTTACCAATTTTTAGAACAATTGAACACATAAATTCATAATTGCTCTCAGCTACGATATGGGCTACAGGCGTAGGTGATAAAACTCATTACTGTACCAACTCAATACGTGACGACTCGTTCACATTTTACAAAAACCACTGTACTACTTTTCTTCCGAAACCTGAATATTCGTAATTAAACATTATTATCTGACTCAATTTATTTGTTAATCTTCACTTATATTGTAACCGCCGGATAAGCAAAGCAGTCAATAAAATACCACCACAAAAAGCAAATATCTTATTTATTAGATATCAATAAAATAGTATTCATTATTAAACAAAAAATTAACACGTTTATTACATAGGTATGTGTTCGGATATGTTTAATTAGATAATATTTTATATGATAAACTCACTATGCTAAAAAATAAAACGCGTAGAGCTTTAAGAAAAAAGTATAGAAGACAAAACTGTATAGACTATAAGAAAATACCTATAAAAAAGTAAAAAAGGCCTCCCCGGCGGGGAATTGAACCCCGGTCTCCCGCGTGACAGGCGGGGATACTCACCACTATACTACCGAGGATTGTAACATTTAAAACGAATATAACGTAGTGTTGAAAGAAAATATCGCTTTTTAGAACTTTTCTTTTTATTAACTAAAACTAGCTACTCACTTTCACTCCGCTCGGATTCGTCCCTAGTTACGTTTTAACGTTTAGTATAGATTCCTCAGAGATGAGATATTATGTTAACCCGAATAACCAGCTATCATCACAACAAATTTCATCAAAATCTGTCCAGTAGTCCAGTGTCTCGCGATGCGGTCACAAAAAGACACACAGACACACAAAAAATCTAAAAACTATAGATTCAGCCGCTGTATCTAATAATGACTATTTCAATGTTTTTTTTACAAAAAAAATTTAATGTACAGATTCGACTAGTTAGAATTTTATTATATGTATGGACTAGCAGAACCCGCGGCTTCGCTCACGCTGAAACACCCAATAAGAACTCTAAAATATTTAGTTTTTTTGCTTTTACTTAAAGTGTCGCCTGTGTACTGTAGCCTCCCACAATATGGCCCGTCGCTTTACATAAATCTGTCCAAATATCTCTGTCTGTCTATCCAAGTACCTCTGGAAATTTAGTATAGTTAGAATGAAGAACTGTTCCATTTCTCATTATTAAAATTCTATAAAATCTTATGCATGATTATGTACTTCTTAAAGAAGAATTAAACAAATTGGGTACCATTTGATTTCTCATTTAGATATACATAATACATATATGTACCTAAGTAGTATATACCTATTACCTATTAATATTTTATCACATAATTTTAGTGATTTCTTCTTTCTTTTGTTTCCATACATTACGAATTAAACTTTAAATAAAAGTATTTTACTTATAAAATCACTATTTTATATGTAGGTATTAATTGTAATGAATGTATGTATGTATATCAATAAGCCGTGAGTGTGACGGCGGGCGCCATCGCCGACGATCAGACCGCTAGCAACTACGAGGAGTGATATCAATGTGCTTATAAATTATTTCTAAGTACAACACGTTGCATATTTTTATTGTTAGTTTTATTGTATTTCGTTACCAGACCGTTTTTATTGTCAAGCGTTAAATTTATATTTTATGTTCTTTGTTGCGATCATATTGTAGTAATTAATGTCTTTGTTGTTTATATTTAAACAGAGTAACATGGCGATAGTTTTCCGTAAGTAAATACTTACTGTGTGGCATAAAAAGTAGAGAATGGTAAGAAAGAAAAGGTATATTTGTGGTTGGATTTTTTAGCGTAGACTAAGTTAATGGAAGCTAGAGTGATTACATAAATAAACACATAATATTAAAAAATCGATATGACAACATATAAATTCAATGGAAATTAAAACTGAGCAAATCTGTTACTTCACGCGAGCGTAGCCTCGGTCAATGCTATAGCTTCATAGCAAAATGAAATAAGAATGGCGCTTTATATATGAAACAAAAGGGAGATTTTATGCTTCAGGAATACAGAGCATTGGGTCTTTAAAAATACCGTAAAATAAAGTTGATTGTTAGCCTGTTAGTAAGTTAGAAAACCCATACTAGCCGATAACATTTAACAATGATGATATGTATATATAATCTAAACTAATATTATAAAGAGGTAAAGTTTGTGAGTTTATAAGTAGTTTCAGGATCTACCGAACCGATTTAGATGGAATTTGGTAAGAAGATAGTTTGAGACCCTGGGAAGGACATAGAATAGTTTTAGGAAAGTTTTTATGGGGAAGCAACCTAGGGACGAACCCGAGCGAAGCGAGGGTGAGTCGCTATTATTATAATACATATAAAAAGCGTTCATACTAATAATGGTTCTCTTATTCTTGATGAATTCAGAAATATATTTAAAAAAATTACTTTCGTAGGCCTTAAAAGGAGTCCCGAGAAACAGTTTTTACATAGCGAGCAAGGTGGGGCGCTACGAGCGCGAGCCCGAGAAGATGTTCGACTTCTCTGCAGAAAAAACTGAATTTGGAGTCGACAACACTCTTAAGCTGCTCGGCGTGGAATACTTGGATGTAATACAGGTTAGTGAAAAATTTAGTTTTTAAAGTTTAATGTAGTAGAGCTTTGCTAGTGATGTAATCATAAGCACGATTTAAACCGGTCGCAAAGTAAAACGTCACAACCGTTTCTAATCTTACAATCCCTCAGTATACACTCAAATAGAGGTCGGGGACATTTATTATTACTATTTTTCGCTTTATTCTATTTCATATGTTTTTATATGATATTTCTAATGATTTTATTATGTGTTTCTGTTTCATCCACTCTCATTTAAATCTGATCTTCTGAAATATCCTTAAGAATATATTTAATAACTTGTCCCCGGCTTTACCCCGGAACAAACACTTATTGATTATATTATTTATATAATCACCTCTCTATTAATTTCAGATTAAACTTGTACAATATGGTTTTATATAAAAGAATTAACAAAAATTAAAACTTCGCTGAGTTCTTCTGAGTTCTGACGTAATTTCTTCCCGTACCTACTGGTGTTACAATTTTTAAATATTGTAATGAATGTGTAATTTCTACCAATATTTTATATATTTAAAAAAATATTCTTTGAGCAGATATCAAACCCAGCACTGGCGAGGTCAGTTAAAGATCAAAACTTTAAATTAACTCGTTTTTTTTATAAAATTTCATATTTATCGACTTTCCTTTCACTCACTTTGTTTAGGTCACAAGTATATGAAGGCATTGAAAGCTGTAAATATTTTAGATTCGATGACTTAGACGAGCTAGAAATTGAAATGTAACTGACACGACGCGACAACTTAATTGAATCTATGATGGCTACATTTAATAATAATTTTAATATTTTAAATTGGAAAGTATGTGGGTGAAAAAAATCTAAATGAGTTTTATGTGGAGAAGTAACTTGTTGTTGTACGTAGTCTATCTCCCGAGCGGAACCATAAAACAAAATTAGATTGTAATATAAACACGTATGAGTGATATTTATAAAAATATTCGATACCTAAAGGGAACTTTATCAGATAATTTTGAACTTAATAAATAAGAACTCAATAAAAAGTTCATAGTTCAAACTCGTGATATACAGTTTTAGTGCAGCGATCGACCAACCCGCTAGCTCGTAGGTATCTCAGCGCCTTTGTTTAGTAAACATGCCTGGGTTTATCAATATATTATTTACTGTACTCGAGTTTGGTTTCAATGCCGAAGTAAAAACTAGAGATGGGCCGGGCCTACTATGAGTTTTGCTGACTGTGACTAGCCGACTAGTCGGTTGGAAAAGGCCGTCTAATCGGCCGACTAGTGAGCCTAGCCTTTGTCGCACTTCGTATCCCTACACGCGTCGCGCTTTTTTATCGAAACAGATTTTAGTTTACTTTGAATTTTGTTATTTATTGTTTTTTTTTTCGAAAAATAGAACTGTCAGTGACTTGTATAGCTAAGACAATTTGTATTATAGTAAAATTACCTATATAATTGAAATTATGTCATGTCATACTTTCTTAGATTTACGCGAATATTTGACATCTAATAAAGATATAAATAAATACAAAATATCTGTTTGTATTGTCAAAATAACAGTTTTACTAAATGCATATGAAATTTATATACATTTGCTTATATGAAATTTACAAAATCGTAGGTCTAGGGACGCACCCGAGGGAAGCGAGAGTAAGTCGCTAGTTTTAAATAAAAGTATCGGAAAGTAGCGGATTTATTTTTATTTTTGGTTCCGGACATTTGGAATGCTTTGCAGTAATCATGGTCACAGGAGAGACTGACAGACGTCTCAAAGGCATTATATACTCGTAGTTGTTACAGACAGTGCCTACCCACTACCCAAAAAATTATAAAATGTTTAATGAAAATAATATTTTTACCCGACTGCAAGGAAAGGATTATGTTTGTTTGTAATATTCTTTATTCCCGCATATCTCCCAAACCACTCAGTGGATTTCATTAATTAAGGTATTTTTAGATTCGTCTCATTATTACAAGTGTTCATAGATAGGTGACATAAAAAATTAAATATGAGGGCTGCTAGATTCTATAATGTGAAAAAGAAAAAAATAAAAATCGATGAAGTATGTCAAGTGGGGTATTGTTACATCTCGCGGCAAGGATGAAACGTGTATGTCTCCGACTGCATAATTATAAGACCATCGTCTCCAACCCCTATGAAAAAAGCGAGTCGTTCCGCCGGAAAGATCATGGGCTCTCTTTTCTGGGATTGTAAAGGGGTGAGATGAAACAGTGAAAATCGCCTGTAGGTATACAGTAAACAATTCACCGATTACCGGTACAGGATTGTTATAGCAATATATGTTCATTAAAATTACAAAAGAGCATATTAAAAGTCAATACTTCAATTAATTAAATGTTATAATGTTTTAATTAATAAATTGTATAGGAAATGTTGTGTGTATTATAGATATGTATATTATAATATTATGTAGTTGATTGACATTACCAGTACGTGATCGTCATTAACATTGTATTGTTACCGCAGGCAACACATTGTTATTTGAATGCCGCGTACACGTGGCCTTAGATGAATACATGCGGGTTCTAAAATGTGCACGTTTCGTTACGATGCAGGTAGATTTCCGTTTTAATTTTTCATTTGCCATTAAGTGACTGTCATTTATTGGTTTCTTCATCCCTCCTATTATAATATTCCTAAGTGACTTTAGACAAGGCGGTCAATCTCAGTCAATTTAATCATCTATACTAACCTATAGGAGATATAAGCGAGCACAGGTGCACTTTTTTATTCATACTCATAGCCCTCAAGAAGTCAAGAGACCTGTACAATGAAACCCACACACTATCTCTTTAATTAAAAATCATTAGTTAAGGCTTATATCCACATTAAATAACAGACCAACTCTTGATTTGTTCTAAACAAGAAGCCTATCATTGGGTCTCAAGAACTGTCACTCATTTTTTTTAAATAAAGTTAAAATTTAAAAAGTAATTTTAAAATTCTTATAAATCAGCAATTTTGGCAATCCAAAATATTAAGCTCCAATGGAGCTTAATATTTCAAAACAGAAATATTGGTTTAAGTGTAGATCCGTCAATACTTTATCGTGTTGCTTTACCTGTGCCTGGCTATGTAGACTGTACAGTGGACTGGTTGCATTGCGAGAAATTGATATAGAGCTCGAAACCTTGATCGAACGATATTTAACACAATGAATTTGAAATTCTATACAAATCATTGCTATAGCGGCTTCAAAAACTATAGTGAATTAGCAGTTATTGATTAAAATACTTTATCTATTCTTCCGAGTGATTGATTTAGTCCCAATATAGGGGATAAATAAGTTTCATTACATAAAGTTGGAACCTTATTACTATGCCCACATGTCTTATTGTCATTCCTTTACACGGTACAATTAATGGCAAGTAGATCTTTCGAAACGTAATTTTTAGCTGTTTCACATTTTCATAGAATTTTACGACAGATTTTTTTTTAAATAATTAAAGAAAAAAAATAAAGAGTGTGTCCACACAAGATGTATTTTTAAGCATCCTATACCCTTGTGTGAACAAAGAAACAGATGCAACCATCATATGTGGTGTGTTTATATTAATACAACTCTTAAAGCAAAACAATAATAGAAATTGGCGAAATGTGACTCGGACACCTGCTAATATAACTTTAAAAGCTGTCCCTGACCTTTCGCTTTCGCTGACATTCAAAGGCTTCCATTTTCTCATAAGCACGAGTTTAAAAAAGTTATAAAACTGACTGATTGTATGTATCTATAGTTTTGCTTCTCTGCTGACATTTAAATCACTGGAACAACTGGACTGGTTTTTCGAGGTACAGATATTTATAGTGCAAAAGCAAGCGAAACAGCTTCAAATAATCATAATCAGCTTCAAATGGGTAATACAAGAAAATACCTCTGATATTTTCATGTTCATTCGAATCATTTTTAACGTGATTACCGCTTAGCAAGTTTTCAAAAAATATGTGCGCCAATTCGCATTTGGCCAGCATGGTGGACTATGGCCTGATCCCCATCCTATAGCAGGGAGGCTCGAGCCCAGCAGTGGGACGCTTAAAAAGACTGATATGATCTGATATAATCTGAATCTCGGAAACGGCTCCAACGATTTTCATGAAATTTAGTGTACAGAGGGTTTCGGGGGCGATAAATCGATCTAGGTTAGTTTTATGTCTGGGAAAACACGTGTTTTCGAGTTTTCATGCGGTTTTGTTTCGCACGCAAAATATGTTCGCTAATCGCACGCTAGGACATAAGTATCGTGGTCAAGCGGCCTAGGTGCAAGTTTGATAACCACTGATGTCTGGGTTTGTATCCCGGTCGGATACAAAGTTTTTACTTTTGTTTTTTTTTTTTTTGTATTTACTATTTATTCAATTTTTTCGTTTTTTTAATGCTTCTTTGGCCAAAAACACCGAGCGAAGCTCGGTCGCCCAGCTACTAGTAAATTAAAACTACTAATCAGTTATTTTTTACTTTTTAGTGTTTTTAAGTCGGTTTGTTTTTATAAATATTACAATTGTATTTTCTAATTTACAATTCCCCATTCAAAGTGACAGGAATTTCATCGCTACTTGTAAATTTAATTCTCAATTATTAATAATTCCAACATCAGGTGTCACTCTGTAAGGTCTTTGGTCTGTAGGTAACATGGAAATGCTCTCGCAGGCGCTATTTTAGTCAGACAATGATTTAACAGAATTTAATTACATATTAATTTGATTCATAAGTCATGAAGTTTATTGTAATAGTAATGACTCCTTAACTTCGCCCGGGTGCATAATCAGACATTATATAAATACTATGTGCATGCTCACTGTTTGTACTTGTTATATTCAGATTAGTATATTTTACATAAAATTTTCGTATATAATTGGAACTATATCAGAAACCTTCGCGATTTGCGATTATAAAGTTTCGTACCGGATGTTGCTATCACACAAATAGAACTCATACATGCATTCTTTTGAAACGGTTTTATGTAGTTTATCCTGTTTGTTTGGGTCAAATTTAATCATTGAAATTTTACCCTTTTTTCTGTTGACAGATTGATCTGATATTTGGTAACATCCCTTTAATTTGATGACAATACAATTGAATTTATACAGTGTTATTGTAAATCCAAGATGGCCGCTGACACAAAATGGCGGATTACATATTTTTTACAACCGCCTCAATATGGGTATCAAATAAAAGAGCTTTACAAGTAGAACACCGTACATGGCGGATCATAGAGTTTAGACAATTTAATATTTAAAAAAAATAAAAAGTTGAAAATAAAATATGTAGATATTTTTTTTAACTAAAATAGTTTTAAAATAAAACTATCTTTTGGGATTGTTTCGCGGATTTATTTTGATTTTTGGTAGACGACGTTTCGAATATGCTTTACAGCAATGATGGTCACAACTCACGGGAGAGACTAAGGTTTTAGACGTCTCAAAGGCATTATATGTATACTTGTTACAGACAGTCATGTGGGAAATAATAAAATAAAAAAAATAAAAACGATAGTTTTATTTTAAAATGTCAATAGCGTAGCATAACTAGACTAAATATATAACACCCCGCGATTTTATTTTTGAGTCTGATCAAGAGAGTGATGAAGAGAGTGGTGTGATGACTGATACCTAAGACCTACCTAATTAATGTGTAGCGCACATTATCTACAGCATTATCTTTCTTTTCAACAAAACCATTTAACTTAAAAAAATGTTATTATACCTACTCGTAGGCATAGATGTCAAATGAGTCTTAGTAACTTTTACATAGGTAACTAAACTTCAATATAATGATTTATATAAGTTGGCTATGTACAAGCAAAACAATTTTCTTTTCTTATATAACTTTCCAAAGCTTTTTTGTTCGAACGTTGGTTTTTGTATATATGTATTAACACCTTACATTAACTGCAGGTGCACGATGTGACCTTTGCTCCGGACACCTCGATCATACTGAAGGAGACTCTGCCGACTCTGCAGAAGGCCGTCAACGATGGCAAGGCGCGTTACATTGGCATCGCGGACTACAACATCGACCTGCTGAAGGAAATTGTTGAGGAATCAGAGGTCAAGATATCCGTTGTCCTTTCATACGCCAAATCAACATTACTAGATAATCGGCTTCAAAACTACGCGTTATATTTTAAGGTAGGTGGTCAATTTAAACTGATTCTGGAACAAAGTTCCTTACAGTAGCACGTTATATTCGGCACACTCGGCGAAGGAGAACTAGACGGAAAAAAGTGTAATATTTCGATAGTCACATTTTTTTATATTTGCTAAGAGTACTCATGTGATGTCATCATGAGTACCAGGCGAGCATAAGTTTAAATTTATTAAAGGCGAGCATGGGCGTACCCAGGTAGGGGCAGGGGGGGGCAGCTGCCCCCCCCTGGATCGTGTATGTCTACGTACCTACTGTTGTCGATAAAGTTATGTTTGAGTCAGGTTACGAGTGTTGCGGATTACTTTACAATATATTATGAGTTAACTTATAAAAAAATTGCGCTGCGCGCTCGGTCAACATGTATTCATACAACACGCTAGAGCAGCAAACGACCTGTGAGCTCCACGCTCGTCAGCCACTCGCTGCCGCGCCAACGACTTACGAAAATTATCGAATCTAGTCTAGCGTTTGTGTACTGGCCTGTGAGCTCGTATTTGACATGTTATTGTTTTGAAAGGGCCAAAAGTAGGTGACGAAAAATAATCAATGCCCATATCTATACATATAATAAATTATAACTGATCGTTGTCTGTACATGGGAGATATTTGAGAAAAACTATTATTGGGGGTTTTCATTAAAGTGATAGAACCCAAAACAATGATTTTTAGTATTTTTACTGTGCGTTAACACTTAACATTTAGTATTTGTTTTATTTCAGTCGGTTCATCAATAAAAAAGTTATGTTAATGTGTATACTTATTTACGCACGCAAGAAGTTATACTTCTTTGTTTTTTTAGAGCATTTAAATATAAAAACTTTTTAACAAAAAATAAAACCGACTTCAAATAAAATCACTAAAAAGTAAAAAATAACTGATTGGTAGTTATTATTTACTATACATACCTAAGTCAGGTTAAGTAGGTACGTGACAATGGTGAAATAATATCTGCTGTTTTAATTGTTAATTTTAATCAAAAATATGAAAAAGGTATAGAAGAATAGTCATTTAAGTTTTATAAAGATAATAACTAAAAAAAATTTCTAACATCTTTTTCACAATCATATTTGAGCCTTAAATTCAATGCGAGGGTATTAAAGTAGACAGTATCTAGTAGTCGAAGTAAAGAGGTTAGATCAAAGAGTTTTTTTCGGGAAACTTGGAAAGCGATAGAGCGAATTGGAGAATGTTAAATAAACAATGTTTAATTAACTCTTATTTTATAGATATTTAAGAAATAAAGTAAGTATAAAATTCTAAAAAATATTAGCATTTCGTTCATTTAGTGGTTGGATTTATTAATATTGTCCCATACAAGTATTTTATACAACACAAAAACGCACAGTGTTATGTAGGCTACTTCTAAAGTCTAAACCACTGCTCGATTTTACTGCTCGATTTACACTTATAATTTCTAAAATTCATTTCGTTGATTGCTCGCGCACGAAGCAGCGACGGTTCTATAAAATTCGGTATACAATTTAGCTTAATTACTTATTTAATATACAAACAATTAAATTCTCACACTATTATTCTAGAAATAGGACGCTAAATGAATGGATGAACGAATATATTTTTAGACTAGCAGAACCGGCGGCTTCGCTCGCGTTCAGTATATAAAAAAAACTCTTTGGCTTTATGGTATACAGCCACTCACCCTCGTTTCGCTCGGGTTCGTCGTTTTGTATTTATATAATATACTAGCAGTACCCCTTCGCTCGCGTCCAAACTTCTGATCGCTAACAAAATTCACAGGATCACCCACTAGGCTAATTTAATCAAATCTAATTTCATCAAAATCGCTCCAGCTGTTTTGGAGTCCATACGAAACATACATACCTATACACATCGATTTTTATTTAATTTAATCAACAATTTCAATTTATTTATTGCTCGGAAAATGGAGTCTTTTATGAAAATTTATTGACACACTGACTGCAGCACCACCTACCGAATCCATTTGTGAATTCAAATCTTGTAGGGACCCACTCGAACCTACACAAAAAATATCATTAAAATTGTCTTTGCCGTTTAGAAGATGATCAGTGGCACACCGACTGCAGCGCCACCTACTGGGTCCAACTGTGTTTTCAAACCATCCAGGAGTCCATTGAAATACACACACAAAATTTCATCCAAATCAATCCAGTCCTTTAGGAGGAGTAGGTTAACAAACACACGTATAGAATAATTATATATATTAAGATGTAACTTAGCGACTCATCCTCGCTTTGCTCAGGTTCGTCCCTAGGTACATTTTGACCTTAGTATGGAATAGATTTTTTATATATTTTTTCCGGCATCTTTCATCGCATTGCATTGAACTTTTGAAACAAAAACATTGAAGTCTGCTTCAAAGGTGAAGCTCAAAGCGTCAAATTTCATCAAAATCTTTCCAGTGATTTTCTCGTGATGCGGTAACAGACAGACGGACGGACGGACGGACGGACGGACAGACAGGCAAAAAAATTAAAAACTATTGATTCGGCCTCTGTATCGATAATAATGTCTATTTCAATAAGATTTTCTAAAAAATATTTAATGTACAGATTTGACTTAGTTAGAATTTGATTATATGTATAGATTTTATACTTTTTAGTTTTTGAAATCGGTTTTTTTAAACGTAGTTTTTTTTTAATTTATACTTTTTGGTGTCTGTAATAGGTTGTTCTGTAAACTACAGTAGGTAATAATGTAACGATTGGTTATAATATTTCTCAGTTTCTTTACTCCGCACGCTCGCTCCGCTTCACTGACAGGTAGCCTATACCAAAATGAAAACTCCTAAAAAAGCCGTACACAAACTAAAATAAAATTACATCGTCCACGTAAACAAAAATTTTCATAATACAATGTTCATAGAATGAAAACTAGGTACTTTTTCAAACTATATTTTTTATGTACTTTTATATATTCCGTATCAAACTAAAGAAGAATCACGTGAATCGGATCATAAATATCAGCGTACTCAGTGTGCATAGGTACATAAAAAATACCAATCGAATTGAGAACCTCCTCTTTTTTGAAAGCGGTTAAAAAACCCATCACGTGCATCTACCCACGTCCCGCAAGCAACGATATAAACATACGTATGTAGGTACATATTTTATAGAAATCAAATAACTTCCAAGCGCATATTTCTAGAATCTCTCATCTCAATCATAATATTGCGATTCATCGTATTTTATTTTTAACTTTCAATATTGAATTATTAAAGTTCAACTGGCTTAGGGAGAAATATAATTTAAATACCAATAACATGAGTATATTTCTTGAAAAATCCGCTTCATTCAAAAATAAAAATTAATGTACTCAGTACCCACCCACTCTTAACTAAATCGTCTGAACGCGAATGAAAATCCCGTTTAAATTCGTTAAATAAAGCCAAGTTAAAGTTAATAAAGCATTACCACGATTTTTAAGTCAATCATTCACAACACAATTCATTTGATATATTATGTATATTTTAACAAATAGCATGTATTAGATTGATTACAAACCCATACACAAACGCAGTGTAGTGACGTTAGATGATTGATGCCAATTACAATGAATTAAGATCTATTCACTATTGTATTGAGTGATTTAATGACTTAATGGCCTCCGCACACTGACTTTCCGTCGGCTGATAGTTTAGTTGGTTAATAAGGACTGAGACGTGAATAGCAAACGCTCACTTTTGATTAAATTTAGTTATCACTAGCATTGCCCGCGGCTCCGCACGCGTTCAATGACCAAAAACCAAATTCTTCGGTTTCATACTCGCAGGGCCGGATTTAGGGAAGGGGAACCGGGGCTAGAGCCCCGGGGCCTCCACAAAAGAGGGGCCCACACAAAAGAAATTAAAAAAATCTAATTCTGACTGACGACAACTTTTTCGTTTTTTTAACCTATAATACTTGTACAAATATGATTGATTATATTATTCTCAAATATTAAAAACAATTTAATAATCTATAATATTCGTTCACCGCAGTTCATCGCAGTCAGGTAAAAAAAGGTTACTGAGGGATTATGATTAATTAATTATAATCATGCGTTTTTTTGGTTCTGCGTGAGTTTATTTATTTTATAATTTTAAGGTCTGCAATATTATCATCAAATATGCATGCACTCAAAAATAATATTTTCTTATATCTTCTCCATAGGTTTAGGTAGTTAACTAAAGGTAAACAAAGAACTCATGGGGACTTAACCTTTTATTACAAAAAAATTACACATATTGTCAACTAGCGAATTATCCTCGCTTCGCTCGGGTGCGTCCCTAGGTACGCGGATTTTATTCACAATTTCATGGGTTTTAATTTTTTGTTCGGAACCCTGATTTTTTTTCTAAAATAAAAATAAAAGAAATGTTATTCCATATTATGCATTTCATTGTATTAAGTAAATAACTGTTGTTTTGACATTACAAACAGAACATTTCAATTTTATTAACCTGTTGTTATACAAAAAATAACTGAATTTTGTAAATCATTAATTTATTGAATTCACCTACAATCAAAACATCACCCCACAATAAAATTGATGTAGAGTTATACAAATTTATATTTACAATATAATATTTAAATGATGTATGTTATGGACGACGAGTCTACACGACGGCAGAATCAAGCTTAAGTCACTCTAATAAGATTGTTAATACGAAATGAAAAAAACGAGGTTTTGCTCACTGTGCACCATTCGTCGGATAGTCGGATAGCCGTAGAAAAGGCAACTAGCAAGAAAAGATAAGGAAGGAAAAACTCCCGTTGGTTGGAGTTTCATTTTGAGACAGTTAAATACAGTCCACTATATTTAAATTTAAAAATTTCTATATAGTATATCATATTAAAACATGTGAATAAGTTTGGATTATATGCTGTTGCTGAATGCTGATATTATATAATATAGATGTTTGCTTTTTGCTTAATTGAAAAGTAACTTTAACATAGATATTATTTACGCTTGCATTAAGTCTATAACAGCGAAATCATCAACGATTTTTCATCGATAAAAGCTCGCAAGGTTCCATTCATTAACACTGTAATTTAAATTCGAATAATTCTTGCATTTGACTATATCTACATATATATGTTTATTGAAAATAATTTCATTTATTTTGCAATAAATACTTAAAACACTTGACTAAAAAATTATTCATTTTATTCGGAAAATAATTAGGGCCTCCATTCCTTTGTTGCCCCGGGGCCTCCACACCCCTAAATCCAGCCCTGAATACTCGTATATTAGTATACTCTTTGTATACTCTTGTTATACAGTATACTCTTACATTGCAGTTATTGTATTTATTCTCAAAAATGAGATATTTTCCCGCGGTAAAAAGTATCCTATATGTTGACCCAGATAGCTAGGCTAGCTATCACCATACCAAATTTCATCAAAATCCCTCCAGTGGTTTTCTGTGATGCGGTAACAGACAGACAGACAAAAATTCTAAAAACTATAGATTTGGCCTCTGTATCGATAATATTGTTTATTTCAATAAGATGAATTCGAGTCAGACTCGCACTTGTCGGATTTTTTTTATTTACTAAATAGGTACTAGCTGAGCAATAGACGTTGTCCTGCCTTAATTTCACTACGAAAATTTTAAAAAGAAATTAGCCAAAGACGCCCAACCACTCTCAAGTGATACGAATACCAACGCAAAGCGTTTTTTATATATAAAATGGAATAAAACAATGTGTCTGTTACAGCGTCGTGGTATAGGCGTAATCAACGCGGCGGCTACCGGGATGGGCCTACTCACCAACAAGGGCCCGCCGTCCTGGCACCCAGCTAGCGACGAGATCAAGGCATTGTGCCGTGAGGCGGCCGAGTTCTGTAGGGTAACTAGCATTGAAATTATTACATGTTCAATGTTATGTATGTTTGTATGTCGATCTCGGTGATTCGGAGGTCCTGGTTCTGAGTCCCGGATCAGTTAAAGTTTACTTATAGAGCTTTTCTGTTAAGAAATTCTATAATATTCTATAACATAATAATAACCCGGAGTTGGAAAGCTGGCGGTGTTTTACCCCCACGTCGCGAAGAGCACGTATAACTGTCGGTCCTGTCCCATATGCGAGTGGTGAGATCTCAAACAATGTACAAAACAAAAATTTGTACTTCAAAATCAAAAAATATATGAAATAAAAGTTGCTGAATATAAAATTAAATATCCTAAATTTAATGTTTCAGGCGTACATACGAGTATATGCGTTTAAATCAAAATAATGTACTGGGAGATGTTGTTATTTAGGTCATCCGTATAGGTCGATTTTTGCAGAAATAAAGACAAATCTAAATATTGTATCAGAAAAACAAGGTACATATGTGCGTACATATTGTAAAAGCGAAAAGAAATGTTATCGATACTTAATTTTTTGTGATGTTTTGCATTTTCAAACAGCTAATTTATAAGATAAAATTCGTTATCATAAGTGATAATCGAAAACACAAGAAACTGCTACAATTTCAGAGTCACAAAGTGGAACTGGCCCGCCTGGCCACCCACTTCGCTATACACCAACCCCACATTGACACAAACGTCTGCGGCTTCCTAAACGCTCATCAGTTGTATGACACTATGGAGGTCATGAGGAAGGGCCTAACAAAAATTGAGGAGAAAGTGTACGAGGAAGTCAAAACCAGGTATTTCCCTCATTGATCTATACTTACTATTATAGAGAATTTTTTTTTTGTGTTTGTTTGTAATGGATGAACCAAAAATCAAAATAAATAAAAAGACCCTGGGGAGGACATAGGATTGTTTTTACCCTGGAAACCACCCTATGAAAAGGAGGATGAATGTTTGTATGGGGAATCAATTATTTTTCAAATAAGGGATATAAAACTCATACCTTTGTATATACGAGTATATCTATGCCATACTAACCATTAAATGTAATAATTTAGGTCTAAGCACGTATTTTATCCGACTGCGGCGAAACCCAAAGGAGTCGTGTTTGACTTGTATGTAAGTCCGACCGTATGTTCCGTCGTAATTACTAAGCGGCTTAACCGATTTTGATGATTCATACGTCATTAGATTCGTCTTAATAACGCAACTGTCATAGAATATATATTTAGATGTCATTTAAAGTCAAAGATACAGATCTAGAGCATCAGTTTTTCTTGAAAAAAGTTTTTTCCTCCAAATCGATCGAGTGGGGTATCAAAATACAGGTTTTTAAGAGGCCGTTATATTATAAATATTTTATTATTTTGTATAAGAATTTTTAAATAAAACTAAGTAGTCTCACTGACTATAACTAAAATGTTTAAATTAAATAATATTTAGGATATTAGGCGTCGCTTTTTACGCAGTCGTGCTTTTTTATTATTGTATTTTTTTATTTGTGCGACATTTCAACATTTAAACTCTTAAATTAATAGTATCTGATAATAAACTTCTTAAAAAAATTGATGTTTTAAATCTTCAAAAACGGCTTTTCTCTACATAAGTTACTTTGTAGTTGTCTGCTTATATATTTATTTACCAGTAAAGTCCATATCGTCCATTTTTAAGCTACTTTCCTTCTATTTTATATGATGTTATTTACTAGCTTTGTGCTTAAACCTACTCCGTGTGAATAAGGGAGAGATAGGTCTAAGTACATTCATATTACTCCAGATTCGGTGAATCGGAAAAACTTTTTTAATCAAAGTAATTAGTTTCAAGTAGAAATGATAGTTAAAAATTATTACTAAAAATTACTTCATGAAATATGTATCTATATTTATGAAAACAGAAAAATTGAGTTCAATTTAATATACAAAAAATATATTTTACCCGAATACTGTTAAATATCATATTGGCAGCTGGAATTTACAAAACACAACAAGAACACTTTCTTAGAATGTTGTTACTATTAAAAAGTATCATATTTTAAATTCTGTAAGCATAAATATTCAAAGTCGAACACTTAAAATTATTAAATGTTTCAGGTATTTCTCTAAAGGAGTACTACATTGGGATAATGTCGAGCTTCCTAACCATAAAAGAAAGCTTTTACAGGATTGAGAAGACCTGCCTTTTATAGTCAATGCTGATATACCTCTAAAAAAAGGAGGCTATGAGGTGTACATCTAAATCGATTAATCGATTTCACATTTCGATTTTGGCTTAATCTCGTTCTTGTTATTATTGGCTGTATTGTTAAAATTTGTGCTAAAGCCGTTTCCACTGAATGTTTCCAACCCGCTTCTATATAAAAACTTACAAAAACTTCCAGGCACTAAAATATAAAAAACAACTTAACGGAGATTTTCATTTAGAATAGATACCTAATCAGATATTTTCGAACTCGGTGCCAGCCGATCTTTTTTTTTTTTTTATAGTTGGGAAATCCTATTACGGATACCACCCGACTTCCCCGCCAGGGTAGTTATGTGGAGACTCTCCGACTAATGAGACCGGCATACCCACTAAAACCCAACTTTCCCCACAGCCGCCATGTGGGACGCCACGGGACCACTTTCGCATACAACCGTGACGCCCCGACGGTTGGCCGAAGCCACCAACCATGAGGCCGCCCCAAGCGGGACGACCCCATTATGGGAAGACTTGCAACCCTGAGAAGTGAGACTGCTCCCAAGTCCACTCTGCTGAACAGAGAAGTACCCGGAGCAGCCCCACACGACCAAACACCACCCACGGAAGTGGGAAACCTGCAAAAAATAAGCGGCCTAAGCCTGACCTACCACACCCAAATTGGGCAAACCACCAATACGCCCGAAACCGAGCCCACCCCAAACGGCTGCAGGAGTAGAGGATGCGACAACGCCGACACTCCCCTTCCCCTACAGCCCCACCGCGTCCACCATCAACGGTGGTGGCCCCGCTGGGCCGCGGGAGATAGGGACGAGCGGCGCATCGCCATACCGACACTCCTCTTCCCCCGCGGCCCCCCTACCGTCGGCCCACCTCCGGACCAAGATGGCTGCCGACACCCACGCCAGACGCAGGACCACCGAACTGGCCCCGCTCCAGCCGCCGCACCGACGGGCTAGCCCCGGCAGCACGGCCCGCGCAGCGCCTCCTACCGCGAAACGGCCGGAGACACCGCGCTACCTCCAAGAAGGAGACGGCGCCCTCCTGACACCGCTTCCCCTGCCCCTCCTGGCTGTTGGTCCGCGCCGGATTGCTCCGGTACCACAAGCTCCTGTCTGGGGGAACAGTCGCGAGTGGCTTTCCCCTATCCGCCACCCGGGGGACGCGTCCGGTAGCAGTCAGCCTCTGCCCCGGACAGCCGATCTATCTAGCCTAGCCAGCAAATCGTAATATATTTCGATACGTAAAAAACATATTTACCTATTAGATATTCATATTTTTAAAATATTGTCGGCTGGCACCGACTTTGAAAATATTATTAATCGAGAATATTAATAAATAACCAGACGCCTGATACATGGGATTTTGATTTTAACACTAAAACAAAGATCTACGAGACATAATTATAATGGTACATTAATATTAACTACACTTTAGTAACTACCTTTTTTTGCTCTTACAACATACCCTTGGCTATGAACTATCGATAACAGCGCTTAACAGGTAAATGAGACGAGATTGAACCGAGATCGACATCGAACTATTGAGCTGACACCTCTAAAGATATCAGGATTGATTATAAGGCACCAAAGGGAAATTTAAATTGACATACAATTATTTATTAACACAGAGTAGATTATTTATATATTATTTACTGTAGAAAACGTTCAATAAACATACCTACATAGGTTTTTACTTTGAAATACTTCAAGTGTCACAGTTTAGAATAAGAATTTATAATTCATCTTCAAACTTTAACTGTTAGTTTTAAATATAGTCATCTGAGGGTAGTTCTCATCAAAATGTTATTTTTTGCAAAAAAATTACCAATTTTTAAAACCTTCGTGCAGATCTAATATTTTAAGCGTAGTTAATTGTTTTGTTGATAGTAAGCAGTTTTATCGAGGAGGCATCCGAAACTAAGGACTAGTTTTAGAATAAAATGACATTTAATAAATTTTGATGTTACCGAGAATGACAATTTGTGAGAATAATGACATTAGTGCGGAGGAAAATGATGCTATGTTACAAATAATGACAATTTCATTATTTAAAGCATAAAATCAATAAATACCATGATAATTTGTAATATTTTTTATTTTTTATGAAAAAATGTTATAGGTAACATATAAAACTTAACACAATAAACATACGTACTTTTGTTATTTTAGAATATTAAATAACAAAATATCAAAAATTCTTCGAATTCATAGAAATTAGATACCTGATAGTCTTACAAAAAATACAAAACTAAGGCGGCCATTTCAAAACATGTTATTAGGGACATTTGAAACTAATTTAGACTAGATTTCAAATGGTTTAAGGTAAAAAACCGCAATTGATGTTTGAAATTACCACCTTCGATATGAAAATCTTTTTTAAGACCGAAATTGTACCTTCTATGAATTCAGCATTTAGTCTTACGTAATATGAAGATAAAAATATTCTTAGAAAACAATCAACATATTTAGTAGAAAAGCATATCTTTGGACGTTAAAGAATTATATTAGGAACTTGTAAGAATCTACCTACTTACTTTTAAATCACATCTTTTGTTATTAATTTAAATTACAACTTTAAAAGTCGAATTTAGACAACTAATTCAAATATCCAGACTTTCTTAATTTGCGTAATCTACTGTTATGATTTCTATGATGCACAATAAAAAATCACAATCAAAATGAAGACACAAATATTGAACAAAACAAAAATAAACATAATTAAGATTAAAAAAAATATAAGTAATTTAGTCAGAATTTTGTGATATTCTACAAAATTCAGGCAGTCTTGAAAATTTAAATTAAAATATAATAACTAGCCACAAAAAAAAATCAACCGAGCAGAAAGGCACTTTAACTATTTTGATGTTGATGGTTTGGTGGTCTCGTCAGATTTTGTTTTTGCAAGAATGGTCACATCGAGATGCTTAGAGAAGCGTCCTACATTTTTTTTTGACATATTGATGTCGTTTAACGTTATATCCGAGAGAATTGTTACTTTTTTATTCTTAGTGGAATTAGATTTTGTCTTCGCAAGTAATGTTAAATCAGATTCGACAATGTTAGATCTTACGTTTTCTTTTTGCAACAGAGGTATACATCCTAAATGTTTACCATGTTCACAAATTTTTGAAGGACCGCAGTCAAAGCAACTCAACTTTCTTAGAGTAGTTTTTGGTTCAGACCTATCCTTGTGGGATGCTTGGTAGACAGAAAAGGTGCCTCTAAATGGTTGTAGATTATCTGGAATTAAGCTCGCTTTTAGTAATATGTCACTATCGTTGACTTTTTTGACTATCACCTTTAATCTTTCATTTTCAATGTATCTCGTAATTAATTCATAAAACTGATCGAATGACCCAACGTCTTGTCCATACATGACCATTCCATCTGCCATTCTTTTTATAGTGCCACCAACTCCATCAGGAGCACCTTTTCCGTGACCAACTTCTGAATAGCTCCAAGTTATACTGTTGAGCTGCGGGAAATCATTCTTTAACTGAGTTATCAGATAAAACATATACTTATTCCTATACTGGGAAGATGGTGAATCCGATAAAAAATGTATGGTATCGATAAACGGGTTTAATTTAATCACTTCCTCTATTAAAGGTATTAAATGACCCCACACAGCTGGAGCATCATGGCGTAAGCAATCACTAATTGTACACATGGAAGTTGGTCCAACTTGTCCAGTAGAAAAATTATGTGTATAGATAACCGCAGTATGCAAGGAAACCTGCTGCCTACTTCCACCAAAGTGGAACGACTGAACTTCTGCTCCATATTTTAAGGCATAATTTTCGGAAAAGTCAACGTGTACTAATGCTTCCTGAATATTTAGATTTTCTTTAAGATTCTTGATAGCTTTGTATTGGCTCATAATTTTATAGTTGTGTTCTAAAAATTTTGGCATATCTCTCTTGAATTTCTCTATTGCTTCTATCGTTGTAAGTGTAATTTTTGTCTTTCCTATAATTGTTTGTTTCTTTTTGGTTCCATTCGTAAGTTGTATTTCTTTTGTAACTTTTTTCCATTCGTAAAAAGTACAGTAATTCCTTGAAAGATCTTTATATTCTATGTCATTTGATTTACAGGCCTCACAGTTTCTTTGCAAACAATTTGTATTTTTGTTATCACAGCACATTTTGGAGAGCACTGCTTCGGAATTTTTCTCTGTTATTATAGACGTTTTATTCAGACCTTCAATTAATAATTCCATATTGAGATGAATTGAGCACAAACAAGTATCCCTGTCGGCTTTTTTTCGAAAAACTACCCAGAAAGGCCGAAGCTTACAAAAAAATGAATAGCTAATTCTAAGATTTGTTTCCATTCGGAACTTTTTGTATAAGTCCTTTAAAGGTAGACACAAGAACCTTTTCTGCATACGGATTTGATTTTTTCGAATAAATTCCTTTTTTCCAGCACATAAGATGCTATTTACATCATCTAAATAGAACTGTTTTACACGTTCGCTTATAGTAGACCTTACACTGGAACAGTTTTCGAATTGTAGGCTAATTTCGGAATGATAATTTTCTAGAACCGGTATATCATTTTTTGTCTCTATTTGTGTCTTCTGCCGTTCCTTGAGTAGCTTTTTTAGTCTTTGAATTTGCTTGCAACGAGCTTTATCTCTTTTCTTATAAGCCGCGATAATATTGAGCAATATTTTTCTTTTTTTTATTTCTACGTAGCGAACTTTTCTTATAGCAGCTGCAGCATCATGCTTATTCTCTAGCAAAGGATCTCCTTCAAGATCGTGCGTAGAAATGCTGTCACCTTGATTACTAGAAACGACAAAGGCTTCAAAATTTGGCGGCTTTGCTTGTTTTTTGTTTTGTCGATACCTACAAAAACGATCATGTTAATCTACATTACTATTTATTATAAAGAAGAAAGATTTGTAGTTTTGTATGTTTGTAACGAGTAAACTCAAAAACTACTAAACCGATTTAGATGAAATTTGGTAAGAAGATAGTTTGAGACTCTGGAAAGGACATATGATATTTTTTATTCCGGAAATCATCCCTTAAGGAGGTGAAAATGGGAACGAAAGTTTGAATGAGGAATCAATATGTTATTGAAAATAAAGTTATAAGTATAAAATCTAACTGAACCTTTTCGAATTTTCTTTCCACTTCTTTCTTTGCTCTCTTTGACTGCGCGGAGTTTTTTCCGAAATACTTTTTACTTTTTTCGCTTCTTTATCTTTTAAATACTTTATTTTTCTTTTTTCTTTTGCAAGAGCTAGTAATTCCGGGTCATTTTTAATTTCTGCATACCGCCTACGTTTACAAAGTCTTTGTTGAGCTAGTCTTTCTTCTTTATTTTTTTTCGGAGGCATTTTGGAATATGTATATATTAAAGCAATAGCACAGTTGTGCGTAGTTTAATTTCTTTTAAACTAATAAAATTACTGATAAGTACCTGTAACAATATAATTTGGTTATTAGGCTCTATTTTATCGTTTATAACTATAATATAAAACAGACCAATAAGATACCCAACATAAATAAAAATGTTACCGTTGAAACAAATAGGATTTGCGATGAGCATGAACTTCATTTAAGTATCGGACATAATTTGGACAAAAGAGTGTTTAAGACTGCCTAATTTTGTGACATATATTTCTCAAGAAATTTCATTTTTTATATTTTATTATTCATTTTTTTCATAGCGTACGTTTAATGGTAAGACTCTTTCTTCGTTGTCGTCAGAGTCGCTCATTATTGGTACAAACTCTAAACATTCATCCAAATTTGAATCGCCTCGAAAAATCCTAATTATATTTAGAATTTGAGGATACAAATTTGATCGTTTTTCGATGGGAACTCTTTCTAATTCAAAAGCTACAAGCCGCGCAAAATTTTCATTTCGCTGATCTAAAGGACGCTGATCGTGAAAGTCCACTTTGTGCAGTATATCGGTTTTAATCGACATTGTAGTTTTATCAATGTGTTTACGATAGATCATGGCATCTATTAACTTTCCGTTAATGGTTTGAGTGCCAACTTCTTTTTTCGTTGAGATATCGTTTCTCTTTTTTTTAAATAGCTGTCCAGATAAAATTGAGGGTGAAGTTGATCTCTTCCTCTCCATGATTATTTTTAATACTTATTATCTGTAACCAAATAATAGGGTCCAGCTTAGAACAAGCTTGCGACGAGTTTTTGCGAGGATTTGCTAGTAGAAAAATATGAAGAATTTTGTTCTGGTAATAACTAATAGACCTATCTAATTTTATCAAAATCTGTTTGAAACCATAAACTGTCTATATAACTAACACTGCCCAGCTCATCCCATTTGCACATCAATCGAGACGATCAAAATCATTGTTCTCACCAGTAATCATTGTCGTCTAATTACATTGTCATTATTCACAACGTGCGTCATTGTCTTCTTATCCATTTTTGCAGACAATGACGTTGCCAATAATGATGTATTCACAAAAATCATGTCGAAACATGTTAAAAAACGTATACACAAAGAAAATTCTTATGGTAATTGAAGAGTTACTCAAAAGGTAACTTAGTTATCTCATTATGCTTATAGAATCATTCCCGACTTAAAAGTTAAGATTAAAAAAGCAAATGACGATTGAAATGACACAATTAGGAGAATCAAATTCAAGACTCACCAGTTCGAAATCCAACACGCGTGTCCCGTGTAACGGCTGCCAGTCGAATGAGGGACGGGGTAGTTGGTTTAAATCACGCAAAACACAGCGTACGAATCCTTCCGTTTCACGGCACTTTATTAAACAATATATGGAGCGACTAATGACGTAAATTTTATGAACTTTTTTTGATAACATTTTTGAGTAATTTCCATTCATATTTTTTTTACGTTTTATTATTATAAAGTTGAATTATATCAATGTCAAACACGAGCTAGTAAAATAATTTAATATGAATTCAATAATAATTTTTTTTGTGAGAAAATTGCCGAGAACCACGTAAAGCGACATGCAAAATAATGGAATTTTTGATAGTTTTTTCTTAATATCTTTTTTTTTGTTACTTCTACGTGAATGTGACTAAGATTGATTTTTAAGTAACTATTTAAGTATACAAAACAAAAGTAGTTTTTGAAAAATATTAAGTCATTGAGGAGTATTATCGAGAGACACAAATTTTTAGCCTCTAGAATATTCACCCCTGAACGGTATTCGAAGTAAATCCAAGAATAACTATTTTAAATTATCTGCATGTTTTTAGTCGTGAAGTTATCGATGTTACTGCGCATGCAGTATATATGTATACTATTGTTGAAGTAGTTCCAAATACGTCTATTTTTGAGAAATATATAATACTTAGTAGAGCTTCACAGTGCCTCTTCGTACATTCCTCCCTATGATGTTTCAATCATTCATAAAAGTCATAGTTTTGATAAAATAACTTATTTATTACATCATTAGGAACATATTCCTATAGCTCTTTGAATATTGTACGATAGATAAAATTGGAAATATAAAAAAAACGTCTATTTACTAATACTGATATATTATTTATATAAAGAAAACTTGTTATTCCACTTGTTACGCAAGGTCAAACCACCGCATAAGCATCGGATCTCACGTACAGACGACGAGACGACGTGCCGGTCGCAGGCGCTAGCGCAAGTGCAAGCGCAGCAAGTCACGTACATACAACTCGCCAAATACTGTAACTTCCTATGAGAAATGCAGTATATAAGGACATTACGTGATTCTTATTTTTACTCTTGATCTAACATCGATCGATAGTCACTTTAGTAGTAAGAAATATTAGTTAATAAATTATTCTTTATTTAAAATTGCATTTCTTTGCATCCCTGGCTGCCTCCAAAAATATAACTGGCGCAGTCGGTAGGATAGCCGTAACGTAGAGTCAGTGAATCGTTCACCGATAGCGGCTATCTTGAAACCTACGGGAGTTGCGGCTGGAGGAGCGTCTGAAAATCGACAAGCATAGAGATGCAAATTATTTGGTGAGTACCTAAATCTTTCTAGAGTTGCTTACCTTTTCTCTTTATTTTTTTTCCTTGATCCTTCCCATATAATATAGCAAATCGTTGCGAATGGGAGTTTAGGAAATATTTTTAGAACTTTAAAGATAGATTTTTTTTAATTGTTTTTTAATTTTCTTTGTGTGTTTTTTTTGTTTTTCAAAATTTTCCACCCACGAAAGTCACGGACCTCTGGGTCATATAATAGAATAACGCAAATCGATGCGCGTAGGAACTTAGATATTTTAGAAGATAACTCAAGTATAGGGTTTAATACTTTATTAGCTAATAAAATGAGCGTAGACTTGGTAGATCAAGTATATAAGGCCTTACGCCTGTTACCCGAATTCGACGGGAACCCAAACATACTCACGCGCTTTGTACACTTATGTGATCAGTTAGTTGCACAATTTATTAGAGCGGAGCCGGGATTCGAGCTTAGCAATTTAGCATTAATTAACGGAATCCTTAATAAAGTTACCGGAAATGCGGCACGCACTATAAATTCAAATGGTATCCCTGAGAACTGGCAGGGTATACGAAATGCCTTAATTAATAATTTCTCGGACCAGCGAGATGAGACCGCTTTATACAACGATCTAGCTCTTTTAACGCAGAAACAGTTAACACCCCAGGAATTTTACGATAAATGCCAAAGCCTTTTTAGTACCATAATGACCTATGTAACCTTACACGAAAATATACCCACTACCATAGAATCAAAACGTATTTTATATAAAAAATTAACCTTACAAGCATTTGTTCGTGGTCTTAAAGAGCCTTTAGGTTCACGTATTCGGTGCATGAGACCGGATACAATCGAAAAAGCATTAGAGTTTGTTCAAGAAGAAATTAACACAATGTATTTACAGCAACGTAATGACCCAGCTAGTAATAAGCCTTTCAGTATACCACCCTCGCGACCATTTACTTTCTCTCCTCAATTTGACAATATGCCAAGTCCCTCAAGGCCTACTTATCAGCCACAAAGACCAATACAAGGTTGGAGACCCCAGATACCTCCAGATCGTGGCCCTTCACGAACGCAACAAATGTTTAGCGCACCCCCACTACACTATAGACCCCAAAGTAACGTATTTCGAACATCTCAACAAAGGTACATGCCTAATGCTAGTAACGACTCTAAGCCTATGAGTGGTGTAAGTCATTTCGTTCCCAAGCCTATGCCTAGGCCCATAACAGGACATGACTGGACGAGACATGGAAATCCACCCCCTTCTAATTATTTCAAGACTCGCGAGATAAATGTTAATGAGTTAGATTCTTATGACTATGACGAATACCCCGACTATTACCATGACTATTACGAACATCCCTACCTAGAACAAACATTCGAGCCCATGTATGAACAATACTATAATAACCATGTCCCCGATAACGTAGAAAAGCACCTAGAAGAAAATTCTCCCTCAGAAAAGGAATACAGACAAACCAAGATAGAAATTAATTTACAAACGCAAAGACAGCTTCCATTTATTCAGATAGCAAACCCACCATTAAAATTATTAATTGACACAGGCGCAAATCAGTCTTTTATTAGTCCCGACGCAGTCCGAAGGTTTTACCCAAACGTCCCCCGTAATTATGAACCATTCGAGGTCACTAACATCCATGCAACCACTCGAAACAAGTACTCTATTACCTTACCATGCTTTCCCGAGCTTAATGAAAGTTGTGATATAACCTTTTTCATTTATAAATTTCATAATGATTTCGACGGTTTAATTGGTTTGGATTTATTAGAGAAATTAGAGTCTACCATAGATATAAAAAATAAAGTCTTAATCACACGCAAATCGACCAACCCTTTGTGCATGTACAATTCGCGAAATTGTAATCTTTATGAAGATATAATACCGGCAAATACGTCTAAATTGATCCAAGTCCCTATTAATTTCCATGATGGAGAAGCATTAGTGACAGAACAAACAATATCTAACTGCACTATTCGCGATTGCATCACCAAAGTTAAGAGTAATCGAGGTATTATAGAGGTAACTAATCCAACTAAGCATGATGTAATATTCTCAATGAATAGACCGGTTAGTGCAGAACTTTTTAATATTCAGTGCACACGCACTCAAAGTACTAGCAATCGTGCGTCCGTAGTACTATCCCGATTACGTACTGATCATTTGAATCCTGAAGAACGCGCCAATTTAGAGTCTCTCTGTGCGCAATATGCCGATATATTCTATCTCGATGGTGAACCTTCCACTTTCACCAGTAAAATAAAACATAGTATTCGCACTACAGATGAATTACCTGTCTATACCAAGACCTTAAGATACCCTTTCGTTCACGGACAGGAAGTTCAGGATGAAATCTCAAAAATGCTCGATCAAGGTATAATTCGTCCTTCACAATCAGCATGGAGCTCTCCTATATGGGTTGTTCCAAAGAAAGCTGACGCGTCCGGTCAAGTCAAATGGCGTATCGTCGTTGATTTCCGAAAGGTTAATGAAAAAACCATCGATGATAAGTACCCCATTCCCAACATTAACGACGTCTTAAACAAACTTGGTAACTGTCATTATTTTACCACATTAGACCTTGCAAGTGGATTTTACCAAGTTGAAATGGACCCAGCCGATATTCATAAAACAGCTTTCAATGTAGAGAATGAGCACTTCGAATTTGTGCGAATGCCTATGGGTCTTAAGAATACACCATCTACATTCCAACGTGTTATGGATAGTGTCCTTAAAGACCTCCAAAACGTTATATGTCTAGTCTATCTAGATAACATAATTGTATTCAGTGTATCTTTACAGGAGCATATTGTAAATTTAGAAAAATTATTCAAAAGACTTAGGGAATCAAACTTCAAAATTCAAATAGATAAGTCGGAATTCCTAAAGCTAGAGACCGCATACTTAGGTCATATAATAAGTAAAGACGGTATTAAGCCTAATCCCGATAAAATCGCTGCCATCCAGAGATTCCCCATACCTAAAACAACTACAGAGATAAAGCGTTTTCTCGACTTGCTCGGATACTATAGAAAGTTTATTCCAGACTTTGCGCGTATTACAAAACCTATGACGCAATGTCTAAAAAGGGGTTCAAAGATCACCTATGTCGACCCTAAA